GGTCCCCTCTCCCACAATTCTGCCCCTCTTCCCGGGAGTTGGGGGTGGGAGAGAATGATGGGGTTAGCTCTCTGATGCAGCCACTGCTTCCCAGGAGAGAAATGGGAGGGAGGCCGAGGGGAAGGAGGGGAGGCGAGCTAGGGAGGAGGGGTAATGGCTTAGCCACTAATTGCACCATTACCACCTTCAGAAAAAGGAAAAACCACTCAGTTTTGTTTCTGCGCACAATGCTTCCCGCTCCTGCCGCCAACGGTTGCAATTCAGAGGCAGAGAAGAGAGGCCTGTGCTCGGGGGGCTGCACAGCTGGTGGGAGCGGGCTGGGCACGGAACACCACTAGAGGCAAGAGAGGCAGACGCGGGGAAGTGGGGGAAGGACCGCACCCCCACCTCCCCGCCCAGGCCCTCTAGCCCTCCCCGGGAGGTGGCTTCCACTCCTGAAGGTGCTGCAACAGCCTTTAGTGACCACTGACGCTACCTCAGTCATTGTCCAGGGGAGAGGAGAGGAACTCCATGCTCTATAGGCTGTGTGATTTTGGATGAGCAGCCTAACTTCTCTGTGCCTCAGTTTCTTCATCCGCAAAATACAGTTCATAATATTCCCTACTTCCAGGGCTGTTTAAGGATTACATGAGAGGAGCAGATGAGTACAGCAGCTGGCACGCTGTACGTGTTCATTGATGGGCAATTATTACTATTAACGGACTCATAAGAAGCCCCTCCCTCCTCACGCCGCTCTGCCTGAGTCAGGGAAGCACACACGACTATCCTTTAGTCCTAGCACTTTGTGGCGCGGTTCTCTGAGTCCCCATTGGAGTTGAGCTCATGGTTTGAGCATCACCCTGGCCCGGCCTGGTTTGCAGCCTTTTGCTGGTAGAACAAAGAACGAGAACAAAGAGGCTAGGAGAGGGCTCACAAGGCCTCTAGCTCACTGGTGCCAACTTAACTTAATGGGGCTTTAGAAACTAACACATAAAACAAATAGCAAACGTGCCCCAAGGCTGTATTAATGGGAGTCTGAAGTTCTGAACAAAGGAGGTGATAGTCCTGCTCTGCTGGGAGCTGGCTGGACCACCCTGTTTCCTGGCTCACCCCATCCCCAGTCCCCACTGGTGAAAGGAAGCATGTTCAGAAGAGAGCAGAGCACCGGGCAGCAAGAGCCAGAGGGACAAGAGGAACAGAGGCTAATGGCTGGCTCTCTCCCTGTGTCTGACAGGGACCACGGAGGGGGCAAAAGCAACCTGGCCTCACACCACCCCGTCACCCCATCACCCTGTCTGTCCTTCCCTACCCCTGTCTCCCCTTTCCGCTCTCCTTCCTCTTCTCCTTTTCCTCTTTCTTGCCTTTCCCCATTTCCTTCCCTCCCTTGAGCCCTTTCTTTTCAATCCTCCCTATCCTTCTTGCTCCTTTTCACCTCCTTTCTTGTTTCTACCCCCCTCCCTCCTGCATCCCGGCTGTGTACCTCTTCCCTCCCTCCCTGGGCTGGCCCGGCCCAGACCCTGTGCGCCCTGGGGGACGTCCAGGACCTGGCAGAGAGATGCATGGAGAGGAGGAAGAAGACAAAAGGTCTCCTTGGCAACTCTCATACACACCCTGCCCCCGCGTGCTCCGAACCTTCGAGAGCTCAGCTCAGGGGTGTGGGCACTGCCTCGGACAGGCACCCCCTTCTGGAGTGGAACTGCCGCCCTGTGCGACAGCTAATTCACTGCCTCCCCTGTGCCCGCGAGGCTGGCAGCTGTGCCTGGTGGTGGCGGGCAGCGAGGAGCCAGGCCTGCCTCTGCGACGCGGGGAGAATGAGCCGATGATTGCAATGGGGGGACTGTTCCTGCCAGACTCCCCACCCCCCCCCCCCAGGGCCATGGCAGGCATGCGAGCCAGCACGTGTGCTCCCATCTGTAACACTCATGTGGTACTCAAGAGCTGGCCTGCATGCCGCGGGCTGGTGGCCAGGGGTGGGAGCCCAAGAGGTCACTGAGCACAGTTGTGGCATGTGAAGGTGGGGAACCTGAACGTGAATGCAAGCTATACCCTGGGTCTATGGGGTGGGATGGAAAAAAAAAAAAAAAAAAACTGGGACCAGGGCCAAGTTCCTGGGCCATAGCAGAGGTGGGAAGGGGGTGGGGGGAATCAGAGCCCGGGAAGCATTGTGCCAGCCCACTGTCATCCCACCTTCCACAGCCCACACACATACTCTCAGGCACATGCCCAAGGGCCTCAGGGTCCTGCAGGGCCTGGGCAGGTACCACAGAAAACCTGCCGTCTGAAGGGTCCCCACGAGGCCTGTCCCACTAAGGGCAGTGAGCGTGAGGGGCAGAATCGGTGGAAAGTGGGCCAACAGAGAAATGATCCGGCAGAGGGTCTAGGTGGAGGGTGATGTGGTTAATTAACTGCAGTAAGTAATGCCAGACTCGGACTCTGGAGAGAGGGAGGGGTCAGGGAGCATCGCTGTCCCCTGAGGGGGTCCCACATAGGAGATATTCCTTCCAGAGCGGAGGGAAGCCGGAAGCCAAGGGACAGAGGACGGTGGCTGCCGGGCCAACGTCTGCACAGCACAGCCTGCAGTTAGAGGACCCAAGTTCAAGTCTAGCTGTTGGCTAGGAGTGATTATGGCAGGTCTCTTTCCCACTGGGGCCTCCATTTCCTCCTCAGAAATATGGGGACAAGATGTTCCTTCGCTGACTCCAAAAATACGAGAAATAGTTATTTCCGCTTTAGAGCCAGGCCCTGTGCTAAGCATACTGCACAATTTATACCGCACCACAGATATCTGTGAGATAGGTATGATCGCTGCGTATCTTGCAGAGATGTGACATGACTTACCCATGTGGGGTCTGTGTGACCTCTGCACCCCTGCCCTATGCCCTTTGGCCTACACAAGGGCTGAAAGGGCCCTGACGGAGCCCGTGTCCCACACAGATGGAGACCAAGGCCCAGAGAAAGGAAGCTGCTGCTTCCTCCCTCGGCGGCAGAAGTCAGGGGCAGAGTTGGGACATAATCCAGAATTCCTGACTCCCAGAACAGTGCTCTTTCCCTTACCCTGCTCTGCCCTCCTTCTTTCTGGCACTGAACGGCTGCTTGCTTAGGTCCCAAGGTAGCCAGTAGGTACCAAGCGAGAGGAGGGAATACTGTCAAGGCCCAGGGTAGGGCTCAGAGCCCTGTCCCTCTAGCCAGGTCCAGGGCTCCCTCCCGGTTCCTGGGGGACTGGTCGTCCCTGCCCAGGACTCCACAGGCAGGGCCCAGTTTGGACAGGGCCACCCCCGGTTCTAATCTGGGTGGCGGATCTGCTGACATCTGGTCCAGCCAAAGGGGAAATAGAGGGGCTGTCTGGCATCTCTGGACTCCACTCCCCCAGCTCTGTGACCCAAGGGGCCAGTGCTGCCTCTGGTCTGCTCTCCCATCCACCCCTCCCCACCAGGTAGGTGGTCCAAGCATCCGCCTAGCAATGCCAGTCAAGGGCCTAAAACAGTCCAGACCCAGGTGCCCTGGCTGGGGGAAACTCAGGGGCCACAGGAAGATAGGAGGAGATGGGCAGGAGCCATGCTGTCTGCTGCGCCCAGCAGACACCACAGCAAGCAGGCTGAGCCTCCCCTCACCACACTCTAGTCCTGGTGACTCCTCACCCCAGTACCTTCCACAAATCTCAGCCCTGGGTCAACCGCCAGCACCTTGGTTAGGCAGGCTTGGGGACTGCTGGGCTGTGGACCAGGTCGTTGGCTGAAGCTTGAGTGGGGCTCTTGGGCTGTGTGCCAGGTTCTGGGTTAGGTAGGACTCTGAGCCAGGCAAGCTTTAAGCTGGGCTTGAGATGAGGCTGAGCTTCCTTCTTAGGGCATCAGGAGCAGGGGCTGGCCTCTAGCCCCAGCTGGGCCCTCTATGTTTGAGGCCACGTAAGCCACAGGAGGGTAGGTGTTGGTGTCTGGGGAAGAACATAAAGGGACTTTTATGGTCCAGCTCTCATGGCCCCCAAAGGGCATAAGAGAAGCAGGGTTGGAGCTGGAGGCTAGGTCACCTAAGGCAGGGCCAAACTCAGCAGGCATGGGAGAGGCCTCCACTCAACTGGTGCAAGCCTAGAGCTGCAGGGGAGCCCTGGCTCCACACGGCTCTGGAAAGGCACAGCCCAGACAGCTGGGAGAGGCACCCAGTAGAGCCGGAGAATCCTGGGTAATGGGCAGACTATGAACAACCCATCTGTGGGATATGCTGGGCCTGGGACACCGTCTTCTTCAGAGTCTCCCTCCTGAGCAGGCAGAAGTGCTGGGGGTGGCCGGAATCCAGAGGCTTCAGCCAGTCCTGGCCCCTGCCCCACACAGCCCAGGCATCGAAATCCTAGAGACAGAGAAAGTTCCAGCTGGAGGGGTGGAGGAAGGGGCCCAGGATATGGATGGTCACCTCCGTCCTGCAGCCCCAGGCCAGACTCTCACTCCTGGGCTCAGCTACCTCTGCAGCTCTGGAACCAACACCCAAACCCCCTCCACTGCACCGCACCCACCCCCCCCACCCGTCCTGCTCATCCACAAGCTGACGAGTCCTAACAGGCCTCCTTTGCCAGTGACAAAAATAACTATTTTCAAAATTCACAGCAGGGCTTTCGCCTACACACGCTGCACCGACTGGAACCTGAAGGGAGATATGCAGAACGCAGTGTGTGCATGGAGGCGCGCTCTGCAGCGAGCAGGCTCTGAACCCCCCACGCCCCTCCTCCCACCACTCAGCCCATGCCCCCCCACACACACATGCACAGGGGTGTCCAGAATGACCAAGTAGGAGGGGCTCCTAAAGCATCCATTGTACACAGGGGGGCACTGAGGCCCAGAGAGGGTCCAGGATTTGCCAGAGGTCACACGGTGGACCTGTGGCAGGACTGGACCAGAACCCATATGTGCTGCTTCCTAGGCAGGCTACCCACCTCCTCTCCCATTCACTTGGCTAATGGTGAGCTCGCACTTGCCCTCAGGATGCACGCGCACGCGCCCCAGTGCATTCACAGACCGCACCACAGCCCTGGCTTCCATGTTAGTAGCATTTTAATCAAGTGCACGGGCTCCTCCACAGCCATTATCTTGGCCAGTTCTCTACAACCCTGTGAGGTAGGCAGAGCTCAGGCTAGCATCCCGATTGGCAGTTGGGGAAACTGAGGCCCAAAGGTGAGGGGATGCGCCCAAGGTCAAAGAGGCACCCAAGTGTCCTGACTGTTGGTTCAGGGCCTCTTTGCACAGCTGTTTCCACCACCCTTGATCCTGCAGCAGCTAAGAGCCAGGTCAATCCTCTGGGTCCTGGGGGCCAGAAGGAGAGCTTTCTGCCATAGCCCCCAGCACCAGTCTGGCCCCAGAACTGGCCCAAGCCATGTGAAGACCCATCCCTGCGCCCCCACCCTCAGCATCAGAGGATCCCTTCAGAGAGTGGCCAGATCGCCATGCTTCAGCTGGAGTCCAGGCCTCGAGCTGCCTCCAGGGGCCCCTCACCCAAGTAGTACCACAGAGGTGCAGGGTCCAAGGGCGAGGCTTTAAACGAGCTGGGAGGCGGCAAGGTCAATGGCAACTCCACCATGGCCCCAGGCACCAGGTTCACACCACAGGGCCACAACATCATCAGAGCTCATTTACAGATGAGGAAACTGAGGCCCAGCTCTCATGCAGGCCACTCGAGGTCACAGGGCAAGTCAGTGAAGAGGCAGGATTGGAATCCAGGCACCCCAGTCTAGTTTATTCTCCCCCAAGCCAAGCTCCCCACCTTTCAACCGAGGGGCTCGATGCCCCCCCCCCCATTTCCCTGCAGACAGGGGCTTGACCTCAGGCCCCTCCTTGGGGAGGAACAGGGCCAGGTTTGAATGGGGAAGCACATCTAGAGGGGTAGAGATCCTCACCTCCCCCCACTCCCCATCAGATCCGCTGTGACATCAGCCTGGTGTTGAGTTTACGAAAAAAGGACCGCAGCTTGCAAATCTTGCATTTTTTCTTGCGGCGTCCTCGGGAGAAGCTTCGAGCCCTGCCTGCCTCTTCCTCCTCTTCCTCTTCTTCCTCATCACTGGCCCAGGGCCCCCAAGCACCCCCATTAAAGTCAGGGTGGGCCCGGGGATTCTCAGCCGGGTAGCGCACAGGGATGGCTGTGCGGTTATAGTCCACCAGACGGGCCAGCAGGGCACGGACCACATCAGGCCGCTGGCCAGCCAGGTCCTCCCGTTCGTAGGGGTCAGCGCTGATATTGAAGAGCCACACTGCCTGGCGGGCACTGGCCATGCGCTCGAGGTTCCACCAGCTGCCAGGGAAGGCGGCCAGCGTCTGCGGTGGAATCCAATCGCCATAGCCAGGGTCCCCTGTTAGCAGCTTCCACTCGCCCACACGGATGGCGGCCTGCACGGCAGTGTTCCAGATGCCAAAGCCAGCCTCCAGGGAGCCGTGCCGGGCATGGTTGTAGAGGGGGTCAATGTTGTGCAGGATCTCTGTGCGCGGCGAGGCCCGGCCCTCGCTGATGGCCGGCCACACATCGTAGCCGTCCAGCCCGTCGGCCGCCGAGGCGGTGCCGCCTGCCAGACCCACCAGGGTCGGGTACCAGTCAGTGATGTGCACCAGCGCCCGGCTGGTCCGGCGCTTCCGCTTGAGCAGGGGGCTGTGGACAAAGCCCAGGCCACGCACACCACCTTCCCAGTAAGTGCCCTTGCGTCCTCGCAGCGGCCAGTTGCTGCCCCCCGAGAAGGTCTGGCCGCCGTTGTCACTGGAGAAGATGATGACGCTGTTGTTGTAGAAACCATAGCGCTTGAGAGCCCAGGTGATGTTGCGCACAGCCTCATCCATGCAGGTGACCATGGCCGCATACTTCCGCCGGGCCACGTTGCCCATGGTGCGGTAGCGGTACAGGTACTCACGAGGGGACTGCAGGGGCGTGTGCACCGCCTGGAAGGCCACGTAGAGGAAGAGGGGCCGCCGGGGGCTGTGGCTGGCTAGGATGTGGCTGACACGCTGGGCATAGAGCATAGTGGAATACTGGCCGCTGAGCCCCCAGGCCACACTCTCGCCCTCGTGCAGGTCAAAGCCACACACCCCGGGCCCGTCGCAGTTGTCGTAGGTGTAGTAGTCCACGTTGCCCGTGAGCGAGCCCAGGAAGGTGTCGAAGCCCCGGCGGGTAGGCAGGCACTCCTTCCGGTAGAAGCCCAGGTGCCACTTGCCCACCATGTGGGTAGAGTAACCCGCCTCCTGCAGCTTCTGGGGCAGCGTCACCTGGTCCAGGGGCAGGCAGTTGGGCTGCCGAGGGCGGATGATGGAGTGCTGGAGTCCCGTGTGGATCTGGTACCTGGAGGAAAGAGGGGAGGGCAAAGAAGGCCCGGGTGAGCTACAAAGCACTGCTCTGGCCCACCGGCCCCCAGTTCTCACCCCGAGGTGGGCTCTGGGCCCAGCACTTCCGGCAAAGGTACGGCAGGTATTACGACACGTGACAAGCACTTCCAATGCATCACCTCATTGAATCTTCAAAATTAGTTGAGCTCATATTATGGTCATTTTGCAGATGAGGAGACTGAGGATCAGAGTGGTTAAACCACTCGGCCCAGGATCACGCAGCTAGGAGCTGGGGAGTTTAGAGTCGAACGCAGGTTAATCATGACAATGTAGCTAACATTATTCTGCAAATAAGGCAACTGAGAGGCTCAGTACATGAAATCGCTTGCCCACTGATTCAAACAATCTGTAACTGGAGTTGGGATCTGTATCCCAGGCAGTCTCCAGAGACTTCAGAATCCCTAAACTCTAAGCCACTAATTTGCTCTGGGGCCTAGAGCAAGTCCTGCCCTCCCAGGGAAACTCCTGCTCATTCTTCAAAGCCCAGTCCAAATGTTACCCCCTCTGTAAAGTCTCTTATAACTCTCTCCAAGAATGAGTCACTTTTGCTTCTGGGTTAAATTTAGTACACCTGATCACTGTCCTACTTGACCATGGGGTTCTACTCAGTTGTACATGTTCTTAGGCCCAATCATCTGTAATCGGATTGTCCTCTACTCAACTTTGTGGTCTTGGCACTCAGGTGATGTTAAAAGGACACTCAATTACTTACGGAATGAATGGACGAAAGAACGAACGAATGGTGGCACTCCCAGACAATTTTAGAACCAGAAGGGACCCAAGTCAACTTCCAGTGTATTTACCTTGTTTTAAAAACACAGTTCCAGAGGAGGGGAAGGGCCTTGCCCAAGGTCACTCAGTGGTCAGGGGCAAAGCCAGGACTTGAACATAAATCCAAGCCAAGTCCAAGCACAGGCTCCCTTCCAGCAAACGAGGCTGCCATGTCTCTTCCCCCATGGTGGCCTCAGTTTGCTCCTCTATAGGTGGGGAGTTGGGTTGAATGGGAGATCTCTGAAAACCTTTCAGTTCCCAGATTTTATAAGACCTGTTCTCATGTGCCTACCCACAAGTTCATGTGGCCCCTGGATCCGGTCACTCACACACACTACTGCTGTGAGGCAGGAGTGAATGGTTAGCAGAATGCTATATTCCTCATTTATTCATTCAAGTCCCTTCTGCGGTCAAGGCCCCCATGCGATCTGCTTGGGGTGTCCCACCTTTACTCAAGTCTTAAAAGTCCCAGGGTAAATAAGAAGCCTGGAACTTCACTAGGGTCTTAGAATCCCACACCTGAAGGCCTGACACCTTTAACCCAGGTACTAGGTGGGCTTTCCTGTTTTTAGTTTCCTTAACTTAAAGCTGTTATTGTTGTTAGCCATCATTAGCTACTACTGCCATTTTTAACACTATAGGCCACACGCATCGTTTCACTTAATCCTCATAAAAAACCTACAGGGGAGACCATTATCCCCATTCTACAGATGACGAACCGAGGCTCTCAGAGGTACCGCAACAGGCCCGACTGCAGACAGCTCGCAAGCAGCTGCCCCGAGCTTTGAACCCAGGTCTGCACAACTCAGGCTGAAAACCTCTCGGTGATCCTGGCTCTACAGACCTCTCAGTCAACCTCATGAACGATTCCATTTAACAGAGGAAGTACCGTAGCGCCCGGTCACAGCCGAGTCTCTTCCTAGGGCTGGGCACCACGGAGCACTGGTTTGTAAAGTGGGTGGGCCAGCTCAGAGTCACCGAAGCTCGTCTGTAAGCGAGTAACATGAGAAACACTGGCTCTCTCCAGCTTCGCCCAACACGACTGGATGCATTAACAAAACACTAATGAGAGCAGTCAGCATCAGTCAGATGGAGCCAGCTGCAGGGGGCGGAGGGCAGACGCTGCCCAGCCACACTCGGCTCACTTCACAGATCAGGGGGTTGGCACACTGCCCCGTTGGCTGCTCATTCCCCTGCTTAAACCCAAAGTCACCTCTCGAGAGAGAAATGCTAACTTGTGCACAGTTCTCAGGAATGCAGATTCTTCTTCCCTCTCCTGGAGGTTGGTCAACATTTGGGCTTCACCACCACCACCAACGCCCCCGCCCACGACCCATACACCAGCCCCTCACCCTCTTCTCCGACGCTCTCTCTTGCTGTTCCCGGAGCTAAATGCTGAGTGCCCGAGTGAGGGAAGAAAAGGCACCTATTTTGACTCACGGCTCTGGGACCCCTGCCAACCACCTGGCCTCTCAGCCCCCTCCCCAACGGATGCTACAGACTCTAGGCATGAATTGGGTCCTCCCTGACTCCATGCCTCAGTTTCTCCCACCCAGAAACAGGGACAGCAAGGCTCCGGTTCCTGAGATCATACTCGTGGCTTTTGGGTGGAACTTGGGAGAAGGCATGCCGTGGACCCCATCCAAGGAGGATTAGCTTCAGCCTTGCCAAAGGATTTTCTCCTAAGTGGCCAAAGTTTGCCTTCTACACCCCCACCTCCTGTTTCCCTGCTCTTTTAATCCTGTAATCCTGCCGCCTTGCCTGTGGGCCACTCCTTACGGAGAAAGCAGCACGTCTCCTTGGGACTTTCGGCCAATTTAGGAGGACTTTGCAGATGAAAAACCAGAGGTTTGGAGAAATGAAGTAACTACCCGAAGTTTCCACCGGTCACGGCATCCTGTGCATATCTTTCTGCTCTATCTAGAATGTCTATCTATCTAGACATTCCCTGGCTTCCTTCCTCTCCTCGCAGCCATCAAACAGTTTGGGGACCCTAATCCCTCCGGTGACATGGGGGCTGCCATTTATTGACAGCCAAGCAGGTTACACACAACTCATCCCATCACCACTCTTTTTCAAGTAAACACTCCTCTTCACTCCGTTTATGAACAGACAAGAAAACGGAGGCTTAGAGAAGGGAAATAACTTGTTCGTGGCCTCAGGGTCTGTATACAGAAGCGGCGTTAAAACCCAAGGGTCAGAGACTGCCGTGTTCCTCCAACAAAGGGATGACCAGATGTCTCCTTCACATGGTGTGTAATGTGTGTCCTAGAACATCAGAAGGAGGAGACCTCAAAGATGGTCCAATCCACTCCGTGTACAATTGGAGAAACTGAGGCCCAGAGAGGATAAAGGACATAACTAATGATCACACAGGCGACTGGAGACAGTCGTGTCTGAGTGTCTCAGAACTGGCCCTGAGTCCTTGCTTCCCAGGTCCCAGAGTGGGGGTGGGTGGGACTGTGAATGCACAGGAAATCTCCAGACCGGATTCATTTGGGGCTTGGACGGCCAGCCCCAGCAGCCTGGGTCATGCCTACCTGCCAGTGAGAAGTTGGCTCCGCGAAGGCGTGCAGATAGGCTGGATATAATAATTCTCCAACTTGACACCCTCAGCTGCCAGCCGGTCCAGCGTAGGGGTCTCAATATCTGAGCCATGGTAGCCCACGTCGTGGTAGCCCTGGTCGTCGGTGAGGATGAAGATGATATGGGGAGGCTGGGGTGGAGCGGCTGAGGGCTGCTCCACGCCCGCCTCCCCGGGACCGTCGGCCGCCAGGCTCGGCTTGGACCAGTCCCAGGACAGGTAGCCGAAGCTAAGCAGGCTGACCAGCGAGAGGCCAGTGAGGGCGTGCATCGCCATGCCGGCCCGCGCGTCCCGGCGCACAGGGTTCCCCGGGCCTCACCGCCTCGCGCGCCCAGGGCGCACGGCCCGCACGCCCGCCGGCTGGCCGGCCTGGACGCTGCGAGATCTTTCAGCGGCCCCGGGGGTGGCCCAGGGGCTGGTCCAGGACTGGCGGCCGGACCTGCGCGGCCGCAGCGGGGCGCTCTGGGGAGGTCAGGCCCGCGCCGAGCCGCCTCCCGCCGCCTGCGCGCCCGCCCTGCGCCGCCCTCGCTCCCTCTCCCCCAGCTCAGCCGGGCCAGCCTGAGACGCGGCGTGGCTGCTTCCAAAAAGTGCTCTCCACCATCCTCTGGCTCTCCCCTTCCTACTAGCCCTCGATTTCTCCCGCCTCCTAATTTCTCTCGCCTCTGCTTTCCCTTCCTCCTCCTCCCGACCCTCCAGCCCCCAGCCCGGCCTCTCGCCCCGCCCGGAGTCCGGAGAAGAGTCGGGCTCCCAGCAGGGAGGCGGGCAGGACCCCAGCGGGGAAGGGGAGGGAGGCACGGGTTGGGCGGGCCTGGGGGGGACACCGCGGGAGAGAATGCGAGAAAGTTGTAACATCTGCCGGGCCGAATCCCAGGTGGAGGGGCGGGACCTGGAGCAGCGGCTCCGCCCCCGGGCGGGAAGCCCAGGCCCGGGCGGCCCTCTGGCTCCGACCCCCTCCCGGGCCCCGGCCCGGGCCGGGGAAAGGAGGGAGAGGGGCTGCTTGGAGTTCAGTGGAACAGCTCCGGAATGGGCCGGTCAGACGTTCCTCGATCTTGGGAGTCTTAGCATCTCTGCGTGCCAGCCCTGGAAGGGACGCGCATAGTTTTCTATTCCAACCGGGTCACTGTGCAATTGGAGAAACTGAGGCCCTGAGATGGGTGGGAACTCGTGTAAGTCACAGAGCATGTTAGTAGCTTCTCCCCTGGCGCTCAGTGGCTGTTAGAGTGGCGGTAGAGGCAGCAGTGGAGAACAGGGATGACTTTAGCAAGCACGGCGTGGTGGGGGGGAGGGGGGGTCTGGAAATCGGCAAACGCGGTTCAAGCCTTTGCCAGCTTCCCTCTCCCCAACCCCTCCCCCTCCTCACCCTGCGGTTCGCAGCAAGAATGCCAGCGCCGAAATCCAGAGGGCGGGGGCTGTTGAACACATCTTGTATCCACGGGGTCCAGAAGCTGCATGAGTACATGTTGCATGAGTCAATGGATGAATGGGCCTCCCGCATCCGGCAGGCCAACTCTCACCCAAGGAAATCTCCAGGGCGGAGAAGGCAAGCCCCAGGGACTCCTGAGCCAGGCAGGTACCATAAATGAGTGAAGCAGGGGACGGTGTATTAGGCAGGGGCTACAGGGAGCCAAGGTCCACAGCCTTGTGTCCCGCCGACCATTGTCATGCAAGAATGTGGCCCGGTGTTTCCAGATCTTCAGACTTTCCAAGGACACCCAAATCCAGATTATTATGAGAAATATTCCAACTGTTAAGTGCGAGCAACTAATTTGAAGCACATTTAAGCACCGCACAGGCCAACTCAAACCTATCTGAGGAACAGTTTAGGCCGTCGGGAGCCCTTTGCAACTTCCACTCCGCAGCATTGTTTTCAGACGTTTTACTAGGCTGCATTCGTAAATGGGAAAGCTGACTTAAACAAAACCAGTTAGGCTTCTTTACTACCCGGACTTCAAATGCTGGATGTGCTCATCTCCAGGAGGGGAGTTCCTAGCGCTGTATTTTCCACTTTTATGTGAGCGAGGACCCTCCTTTTCAGAGCTTCTCAAAGCGCCAGTGTTTGGGGAAGTTGGGGAAACAAAGACTGGCCAGGTGTGTTTTCTCTGCTAGCATCTTTCCCCTGCTAGTATTCTGTCATGATCCCTTCCCTCTTCCTGAAAACCACTGTGTGTGGGGAAAGAAACCAGACCTCCAAAATAGCAGCCCGAGTGAATCCACATTTTGAAATGAGGGCTGCGTGGGGCCGGCCGCTCCTGTTTGCTCAAAGCCCCATATTTAGGGTGACCAGATTTATCAGAAGGGAAAACTGAGCCTGTTTTTCTGGCAAAAGAAATGTTGAGGACAGACAGGAAAAATACAGCCTCCTGAGGGGAATGCTGTTAAAATGGTGCTCCGGGAGGCTTCAGCCTGAAGGCTGTCCTGGGGGGGGGGGGGGGGCCCCAAAGGGGGACAAGTCACAGGAGGTCCAATGGACTCGGGTCTTGCATTCTGTGCATTGTCCCAGACCTCGGTCAGGAGGACATGGAGAAATGGCACGAGGAGAAACGGCAAGGGAGGTGGGGTAGGGATGCAGCCTGGAGAAAAAAAAAAACAGGTCTGGGGAGGCAAGCTCACAGGCTGCAGATCTCGGAGTGCGGGGTGGGATAGGGGGAGTGTCACAGGGACAAGACCAGCAGAATTTCTAACAGTTCAAGACTGTGGGCACCGACGTCAAATTGCATGTGTTCAAATCCTACCACTCCTTTGGGGCCAGGCCTTGGGCAAATCATTTGGCCTCCCTCGGCCTCAGTTTTTTCTTCTGTGAAATGGGATAATAATATAAATAAGACACAACACGGTGTTCAGGAAAATGCCCAGCACATAGTAAGTACTCAATGAATGTGAACAATTATGACGATTGTTCTCTGGGGTTCTGGGAGAAGAGACTAAGTCCTGTGGGTGAATGTTACGGGGAGGCAGATTTCGGGCCAATTTAAGGGACTGCTTTTGTAGGACATCTGGCAGTTTTCTTAATAAAAGGATGGCAGTGATGGGTGAATCACCACATGGAGAGAAGTAGGTGGAACTCTGGGGCCCAGCTCTTGTTGCCAGTATTCACGTTTAAGGGCCCCTCATACTCACTGAAACCCACGTGGCCTCAGAGGGCACCATTTCCCCTCTAACGTCCTAGGGATATAAACACTGACCCTCAACTCTTCTTTTAATACCGTGACACAGCAGGGCCAGGCTGGAACATTTAAGCTGGACATTTCCAAAGGCTCCGGGATGACAAGGGGGAAATAAACAAAGAGTAACGTGAATCCAGGTCATATCGCTATTAAGATGTGACTCACTCGTCTTCCCTTTATGTTCCCTACAGGATGCCTCCCTGCCTCCTTCCCCGGCACGGTGTCCATCAGCCCCACTGCAGCCCAGATGGACCCGAGAACTCCAAAATGTCTCAGGGTCAGGCCCAAAAAGTAAGTCACAGAGAAACAGAAGTTCCCTCTTCAGCTAAGCTAGTCTCTGCAGTTTCTAATTCAGGACCCACCTTTTTCCAAGGTGAATGACAGCGGGAATATCCACCCCTACAGATAGGGAAGATCTGACCCTCATTCACATAGATGCACGCTTACCCCTTCATCCCCCCAAGACCAGCTGCATTGAAACAGTATGAGAGTGGTGCCCCTGGGTGGCTCAGTCGGTTAAGCATCCGACTTCAGCTCAGGTTTGTGTTCTGCTGGTTCGTGGGTTTGAGCTCTGCATGGGGCTCTGTGCTGACAGCTCAGCCTGGAGCCTGCTTCAGATTCTGTCTCCCTCTCTGTCTCTGTGCACGCCCCCCCCCCAACTCTCTCTCTCTCTCTTTCTCACTCTCAAAAATAAATAAACATTAAAAAAAATTAGTTAAAAAAATAATAAAACAGTACCAGAGGGGCACCTGTGTGGCTTACTTAGTTGAGCATCCCACTCTTGATTTCGGCTCAAGTCATGATCTTACGGTGGGTCATGAGATTGAGCCCCGAGAGTCAGCCCGGAGCTTGCTTGGGATTCGCTCTCTCCCTCTCCCTCTGCCCCTCCCCTGCTTGTGAGTGTTCTCTCTCTCTGTCTCTCTCTCTCTCTCTCTCTCTGAAAATAAATAAACATTTTTTTAAAAACGGTACCAAAAGCCTAACATCTATCTGCACACAAAATGCAGATCAGATGTAGCAGGGGTATAGTGTTGTTACTTCCTGTCGGGCTTAAAAAAACACCGTACTCCTCGTTACCCGCACTGTGCAAGAAAGACGTAAAGTGCCCACCTGTTCAGGAGGTAGGGAGATTCTGAACTAAAATGGGGGGCAACACTAAAGGACTTTGGAAGTTCTTTCCAACTCGAAAATGTTATGATTTGCATTACGTATCCATAGAAAACTTTCTAGGATACAGAAATGTAAAAGTGAAGAAGTGGTGAGTCTGTTTTGTGGTGTTGTCTTTCATTGCTATGCATGTTGTGGGGTAGGTTGTAGGGTGTGTGTGTGTGTGTGTGTGTGTGTGTGTGTGTGTGGCCATCTTTGAGCTAAAATTAACTTAGTACAGATATTATTTTCTCCTGACGTGACTGACCTTGGCAAAGATCTTAGGCACAGATTATACATGCTGTTGTCCTCTGGAGGTCAATTTTCTAGGCTGGGCCAAATCAAGGACCTGAAAGATAAGACAGAAGGCCTCTACACAGTCACAAGTGTCACAGAGTTCAATCCCTTAATTCAGAGGAGAGCTTGTCAGGCCTCCCTCACTCCAGACCTACTGACTCTTGCTCCACACGCAATTCTTACAAAGCTAATGATTTTCTTCCCTAGCCCAAGAACACTGGAAGCAGTTCAGAAGGAATGTATAAGAAAGTGGCTTGAGGCGCTCGTCTGTCTCTAGTAATACAGTTTCCCAGTGGAAACATCAGGGGGGTACAAAAGAATAAGCATGAAAATCAGACCGATGAATTCCAAAAGCCTGGGAGTTTGGGGCCCTTTGGTGCAAAAGCAAAGGAAGAACTGTATGCATCTGAACAGACCCGAGGGCACCACCAAATCACGGCCGCACCACAGCAGTGAATGATAGGTCACCCTTCAGAGTTGACATTCTGCTCAAGGTTCTCTTTTTAGGAAAGCTGGAGAAGCCATCAGCAATTGTTTAAGGTTTCCGTCCAGAATGGTTGCTTTGACAGGCCCACGGCGTAAGCTCAGCCAGAGCGGTAGAACATCCCCCCCAGCCCCCCGGAGACGCGGGCCCAGGAAGCACCATTGGCTGTGGCGGGTTCTGTAGTGAGGAGGACGCCGCAGTGAGGCTGGGGGTCCGGGTGCCCAGTGGTCAGCCCGGCTCCTTCACCTCCCGTCTCTCTTGCGGAGCCCACAGATGCCAGCATCACGTTCCCTGCACTTTACGCCCCGCCAGCCTCTGGAGTTTGAAAGGGCACATGGCCCCAGAGCGCAGAATGCTACCGCCGGCACCCTTTCCGACAGTTATAGGCCATATCCTCCTAAGGAGCAGTTGCTCTATGTGAAAAATGCCTCCACGAGAGAAAGTTCCGTGGGCTTCCTTGGTCATCTAGTCCTAGCGGCCACCGGTTCTCTCTTTACCTCCCACACTCACGTCTAGTGCATCGTTAATAACAATAGATTAATGATCAAAGGTGATGTTGGAGGTGTTTAAGACAGCCGTGCTGGCTGTATTATAGAAAATATATTGTTTGCCCAGCTGAGCTGTTCTCACCAGTGGGTAGACTGAGGGGCATCCGAGGCCCGGTCTTTGCTGGATATTATCCGGGCAAAATGTTCTGGGAAGAGAAGCGTTTTCCTCCTTAATGCTGGCACACCCCCTTTTGCATTTCTGGGAGGGGGGAGACACACAGCCCTCCTGACCCTTGCTTCTGGCCCTCTTGGTGGTCTCACCGGATCCCCCTTGCTTTAGTGTCAGGATCCCCAGATCAGACATCTGAACCCGGAGTGGCAAGAGCCAGGGCACCATAGCCCCTTGCCTTTAACCCTTCACGGGGCCCCAGTCCTGGGCATTTCAATGGCTCCTTTCTCTGGCGCTCAATGAAACATTCTTCCGAGTAGATTATTGAAAGCAGAGCTCTGGGTCCACAATGGGCGCTCTGTGCTCACAGCCGCTGCCCAATCTGTTTGCCCAGCCTGAATGCGGCCTCGCCTCTCCACTCGTTCCCCGCCCTCCACCCACCGACCCCGGCCCCACCTGGAGGCCAGCTCAAAGGGAGGCCGTATGAAAGGACTTGTTCTCCACCTTCTCAGAAGTTCCCGCCGTGGCCTCTGCCAGCCCTGGGAGGAATTAGCCCAACGGGACCCAGGCCTGCCTCCAGCCCATCCATCCGGGGCTCTGCCCACTTTGATTTCCAGAGGCTGCCGTCCTCGCTGGTCAGCTGGTTTCTCTCTCTCTCCCTTTCTCTCTCTCTCTCACACACACACACACACACACACACACACACACACCAGGTGGGACTTTCAGAGAAAGAGGTGAAGTCCCAGAGCATCAGACTGCCGGGGGAGGGGGGGGCACTGAAATCCAGATAAATGGTGGGGCTCCTAAAAGTGAGAGTGACAGGTTGCCCACCAGCACCCCCTCTTCCGGGTTCAGGGAAGGAAAAAGAGTGCAGGGGTTAAATGGGAGACCCCTGGAGCCAGGTGGCTGTGTTCCAGCCCAGCTCTGCCATTTGCTAGCTGTGTGACTTAGCTACCCGAGTCGACCTCTCAGTGCCCCAGTTTTCTTATTTGTAAAACGGGACTAATTATAGTAGCTACCTCATAAGGTTGTTGTAAGGATTACAACAGACAAGGCATGTGAAGCTCTTAGCACGGTGCCTGGTGCATAATAAGCTCTCTCGTGAAATGATAGCTGTTGTTATTATTGTTACTATATTTAGATTCTATTGTCATGATACTTAGAGTCTATTCCTACAAGTGCATAGAGCTTCAGGGATGAAAATCTGCATTCCCTTGATCAAGTCCTTTTTTTTCTTCCAAAATGTTCAATGGCGACCGACTGCCTGTAGTAAATGGCTCAAACTTCTTGGCTTGGCTCGCAAGGACAGAACCTTGACTCCCTCCTTCTTGATAATAGTCACTGGACACTCGGAAGGTAAATGGGTCCCCTCGCTACCCTCACTGTTGTCATTGTCCTCGTCTTCTATATTTGGAGAACATGGCTTTTAGCACAAATATAAGGAAACTCTGCCGGGGGGGGGGGGGGAAGACACTGAATCAATACCCAATTGAAACTTGGAAGTCATAATAATGCTATAATAGCTTGCATTTATTGAACATCCACTGTGTGCCAGTTACCATACACGACTGTGTTTATTATCTCACTTAATTCTCATGCAGGCCTATGATGCAGGTAAAATTATTACCCTCATCTACATCTTACAGATGGGGAAACTGAGAAGGAAAGAAAGGGTAAGTAATTTGCCCAAGGTCACACAGCTAGAAAGTGTCAGAGCCAAGATTTGAACATACGTCTGGGGTCTAATGTCTGTTGCATTAAATACCCCACCATTCACTCTCCTGTTAGAGACACCTAACCTGTCACTGGCGTCTTCACTTACGGTTTCCCCTGTGCTCTTAGTGGTTAGATGCCAACTCTCTCAGTGCATTGGGATGCCCTGGTGGTCCCCAGGGGTCCTGGGAGGCCACGTTCCGGGAGGTACCCTCACACCCTGGCATCCCGGATAGAACTCTACCCCTTGGCCACTTCTGGTTCTCAGGCCCGTTCCCTGCCCTTCGCATTCCCTCCCTGATGTCCCAGTGCCTGCTCTAGTAGCTTCGGGATGTCCCAAAGCCCTCTGAGGCAGAGGCTTCCCCTGGCTGGCTATTTTCTCTGAACCAGATGTCACCTGTCAGCTCTCCTCCCTATGAAACAAGAGCCAGTCTCCCAGGGCAGCAATCTTGCTGGGCTTTTCTTCTAAGGGACAGCTCAGCCCAGCCCCCGCTGCCTCCTGGCCCTGGCTAGACAGCTCAAAGCCAGGGATGCTCACTAATGACAGGGATGAGGCTTGCCTCTGTTCCTATGGCAACTGCTGCGCTCCACTTACTCAATCACTTTTTGAAGCTCCTGCTGGTGTGAAAGTTATTTTGCATAGACATGCTTAACTCTTATCCAGGAACTCTGCACTGGGCCTTTAGATCCTTCCAGATCGCTTATAAAGTTGATTTTCTCTCTCCTCCCTTTGTTGAAGTCCCTTTATCTTTCAAGCTCAGTTCAAATCCTACCTCTTCTAAGAGACCTTTCCAGGTCCCCTCCCCTCACCCCTCCCCGGGCGGAGTCAATCTCTTGCTCCCCACACTCCCCTGGGGCATGTTTATGGCTCTATTAGATCACAGTCTGCCTGTTTCACAGTTATTTATGCGTCTCCCTCTGAGCCCCTGGTGAGTGATCAGCCCATAGTAGGTGCTAAACAAACATTTGTTTGAATTTATTTGAATTTCCCTTTCAGGGTTTTTAAAAAATTACTATTATTAACAGTACAGACCATTACTAATAATCCCTATGCTTGTAAAATTATTTACAGTTTATATATAGCTTCATGCTTGAGGGCACTGCTTTAAACCGCAGCTCCACCCTTGCTAGCTATGTGACAGTGTACAAGCCTTATAACTGCTCTCAGCTTGCTTCTCATCAGTAAAACGGATTGTTGTAAATATTAAAATAAATGTGTCAAGAGTTTACTTAGCACAGGGCCAGATGCCTGCGATGGCTCAATAAATGTTAGTCATTATTATAATTCACAGCCTTGGTGGGACCTCACAAAAGCTCTAGAATGAGGAGAAGCACAGGGTTTCTGTCAGGGTCGTCTTTGTCCCCAAGGACAGGTGAAGAGGGCGAGGCTCAGAGCGGAGAAGTTTTGCCTACACTTCAGGCTTTAGTCGAGTGCTATGGTGGGCACCTGCGGTCGGCCGTGGAGCCACCTCCCCTTTCCTGGTGACGGAACCTGCATTTTCGTTTGCAGAACTACTCCTTTCTACTGGTGGGTCAACTCCAGGGCAGGCTTGGGTAATCAGAACATCAGATGTCCCTGGCCACAGGGATTAGTTTGGGAATGGGCAAGGAACCCAAGTCTATCCAATGAGACTCACTTCTGAGATTTTTGTTTGAATTTCTGAGAACAAGATTGTCTCTTTTCTGCTGGACTGTAAGCCTAACTCCAGACTAACTCTAAGGGCTAACAGAGAGGAAAGCCAAGTGCAGAGGTGGAGACAGATTCATCATATTGTCAGTTGAGCAGAAGAATCCTAACGTTATAATTACCCTGGGGACTTTGGCGATATGAATGGATACAGTTGTTCCGTCTCATGCCAGGTTGCATTCGTGTCTACCACTTGCAACTGAACAAGTACCAGCTCTTGTAATGTAAATCTACGGTCTCCTCCACGCAGAGGTCAAGGATCTCTCTATACCATTCATTCACACGACAAACACCTACTAGGGTGCCATCCACTTCCGTGGGGCTGAGACTCCAGGGATGGACAAGACAAATCACCCGGCCCTCTTGGAGTTGATGGTCCATTGTCATCTCATTTGATATATGAAGAGACTGAGGCTCAGAGAGGAGGACACCCCCAAGGTGTGTGTCCTTCAAGTGATTCAGGGTGCCATGGTCCAGAATGAGGCTGGGCAAAAGCTGAGGTAGGCGGCTGGGACTGGTCAGTCACTGGCAGGAAGCACTGGTTTAGGCAGTCATATGCTTCTGCTCATCACAAGTCAAAGATGGAAGAAGGTTCTGAACCAAAGCAAGAGGTTGGACACAGGGGCTGAGGCTTTAGGCCCCGAGGTCTAGGACTCCTGACAGGGGACATTTTCCTGGGGAAAGGGTGGCTCTGAGGTCTGATTTGGGGATTTTACTCCTGGCTTAATGGATAACCTCTCTTTGGGGGCTGTGTCCAGCATCCAGATTCTTCTAGGAGGAGGCTTCTTTTCCCAGGATCTTTCATTACACTTCTCAAAGGGAAAGGCCAACTTTCCAGCCCAAGCTGGGGCTAGTTTTTCTCCTCCATCTGATGACTCACCCCTGGGAGAGCCCAGTCTCTCCAGGGCTGGGCCCCCGGGGAGGTTGTGATGTCTAGAAGTTGGATTTGCTCTCAGCTTGCTTTGTTTGTCTCCGCTTCATCCGGATCTAGCACAGGCTGTGGCATATAATAGATGAACACGTCCTTCTTGAATGAATGTTTGTGGAGTTTTGTTTGTTTTCTGACTCGTGGAGGCTTTTACGATGGAGAGAGGCACTCATCCAGAGGCAAATCAACTGTGAAACCAGTCCAGTTTAAGCTTCAGGACCCTTTCCTGGCACAGGTCCCCCTCTAAGCCAGGGGAAAGGCCCTAGCAATGTGTTCACATGGTCATGTGTCTCTGTAAAAATTGCACAAGTCATTCTAACTGTAATCAGTTGAGATCATTCACTTTTTCCCCCTCTGACCTCCTTACTGCCAGATTTCTCTTGTTGTCAGATGGCCTTAGAAGGGTCCGTGGCGTTTTGGGGTTCTGGTTAAGGGGACATTGAGTTGGCGATACATTTAGTTTGCATCTGGTGGCTGTCTAGGCTTTATGTATGGTTAAGTCAGCTGTCTCTGGATAGACATGTCTCAAAGGACCCGCCCGCTGTCTCCTGAGCCCACTCACCTGGCATAAAGACACAGAGGTGAAGGTTCAGAGCTGCATAGCCACATGAACACGTCTTCCAGTACCTGGCAACAGAACTGTGCATGCTGGAAAGGAGGGATACTTTGGAATGTTGGAAGCTGGAAGCTAGACTGTAGATAGTTCTTCAAAATCCTCAAATGGTCAGGCCTCTACAATTGTAAGCAGAAGACTTGCTGTTCAGAGATACTTATGCAAAATGGCAGTTACTTCCTGTCAGGAATATTCTCTGTAATACAGTGGATACAATCGTACCCTAAATCCTGCTTGATGGATGGATGGAGGGATATCTTGTTGTTTATGGTTGAACTGTGTCCCTCTGAGAGAGTATGTTGTTATCCCACTCCCGGTATCTCAGAATGTGACCTTAGTTGGAAATAGGGTCTTTACAGAGGCAATCAAATGAAAATGAGGCCCTTAGAGTGGGGCCTAATCCAATATAACTGGTGTCCTTATAAACGGGGGGAAGTTTGGACACATAGACAGACACACAGAGAAATCCCATATAGAGATAAAGGCAGAAATCAGGGTGATGCTTCTATAAGCCAAAGAATCCCCAAGATTTCCAGCAAACTATCAGCAGCTATACGAGGGGCCCGGACCGGATTCTCTCCCATAGCCCCCGAAAGGAACCAACACCTTGATTTCAGACTTGTAGCCTCTGGAACTGGGAGACAATACATTTCCATTGTTTAACTCACCCAGCACGGAACTTGGTTATGGTGGTCTGGTAAACTTATGTGCGTGGGAGATAGAATTTGTCAGAAGACCCGCGTCTGTGGGCCATGAACCTGGAGCAATTCATCGATGTGTGAAGTCCCATGTTTCGTGCACTCCAACTATCACGAATTAAAAAGAAAAAGTTAATAAACTGTGCAAGAAGGAAGAGTCAATTATCTTTCCATTTTCTTTCCCGGAGCATGTCTAAGATGGCACGGGTGGCCTGCCCCATCCTCCAAGGACTACACAGCTCCCGCCATCTGGCACTTTCTCTCACTGTCCCCAATTAGGACTTCCCTACCTCCACCCCCTGAGCCCTCATCTTGTTACCTGTGTGTGCTCCCCGGATCATATTTAGAAAACAACCAACTGGGCTCTGCTCCTGTGGGCCCAGATCCCAGATTTGAGATTCTAGAGAATTAAAGGGTAGAGTGGCCCGAGCCCTGTCTCTACAACCACCCTTCCTCATCACTTTCCATTCCTTCCCCCTGCCCAGAAAACCAAATCGGAGTTGTTTCCTCTCAGACCCTGAAAGAACATTGCCTTCATGGTTGGCCCCAGACGAGCTGTCTCAGTTACTCTGGAAAGGCCATCTAAACATTGGCGATTCTGCTGAGTTTTTCTTTCCACCTTTCCCCCCCCCCTTCCCCTGGCCTGGCCTCCAGCCTCTCTTCCGTATTCCCTGCCCCACAGTGTCCTCAGGGGAACCCAGCCCTCTATTCCCACTGCAACCCACCTCCCACCCACCCTTACCACCAGCCTCTTGTCTCTTATCAGATGACAAGCCACAGCTGTTTTCCTCAGGCATCTGTCTGAGGCTCTTGGCAGAGGGAACCAGAGGGCGGTTCAGCTGCAGGTTCCAGGCAGGGATTTGGTGTCTCACAACGTGGAGGGTTCCATCTAGAGTACCCTCAGACCCAACTGGACATTGCTGGTGGGACTGTAAAATGCCAGCGAGACCCGGCAATTAATCCCACACCTAACTATGTACCCCAAGGAAGTGAAAACAAGGACTTAAACACATACTTGTACACAAATAGTTATA